TATTTTCTTGAAGGGCAGATAATTCTTAAGTTCTGCCTTTTATCTTGCCTCTGCACTGGCTTTGCACGGCCTTAGCGATGTTGCACAAAACAGAGGTAAGCCTCGCCTCCCTAAAGCTTGCCTCTGTGAGCGTTAGCAGTTTTGAGATGTAGGGACTGAAGTTCCACTGTAATTGCACCGGGGAGGAACGCATGTGCTGGGTGACCGATCCCTTTGGGCATTGCCTGTTTTGCTGCTGAATATTCCTGTTTTGCTGCTAATTTTTGCAAGAACACTTGGGTATAGAACACTTTTATTTGTAACGGAGTAGTCTATTCAGTGGAGGAAATAAGCAGCGCAAGCACAGAAATCTCAACAGAGAGCAGAAGGGTGACAGGACGATGATATATTGGTGTAGGATAAATGATCTTCTTCAGCTAGATGCCGTTCTCGGGTCTGCTTCTCAGTGTGATGCAGGGCTCATCTCCCTCAGTAAGAGGAGCCACTTGTTCTGGCTGTCAGTGGGAAGAGCTCCCGCACCAGTCGGCAGCTGCTGTGCTCCCCGTCCCAGTTCAGAGGGGACCCTTGGTGGGGCTGGCAGGGCTGCCTGCGACCAGACCAGGGCAGTTGCTGCTGGGCGGTGGGAGGCACGCTTCAATCACCAGCTGTGAGCATGAAGGACACCCCTTTCTAATCTTCTCACCAGCCCCTTTGGTTTCATACAGCCAGTTAGGAAAGGGTGGAGAAAAATGCTTTTGGATGCTGGCTGATGTACTGGTATATCACTTACTGTACAATTTTTCAGTATGACAGGCGCCAAAGTTCAGCAGCCTTGAAAATGCCTCTGAAATCTTTTTGTCAAAGCTTTGACTGAGGTCACCTATCTTAAGAAAAAGGCATGGAAGGCAGGCATAGCAGTTTATGGTTTGGGCTTCCTCTTTCATCATTTTTGTACTTGAAAGACAACTGTAGCTGTTATCCTAGTGTAAAGGTTTGAACTAAGGAGTAAATATTCATATATTCATCTGGACTCTCAGATGAGTATTCTCTATTCTGCTCTTACGTGGTTCATGACAGTTCCAAAAAACATCTAATTTGCTTTTCTCCCTGAGCAGCTCCAGGATTTGTTTTGTGAGCAAAATGAGGGTAATAAAAAGCAGCAGCAGGGATGCAGACGTAGTGATTTTTCCCTTAGCTACGTGCATAAGCGGAGGTTGTATAATGTACATTTAGGAGCTGTCTCTTTCTTTGTGGATATCGTATTAGCCTGCAAACCCTTGACCTGGACCGAATGGCTGGTTGCTATGGCAACAGGTTGCATAGTAACAGGTTTTGTTCCTAGGTTGAAATCATCTTGCTTCTCTTAAATGTGACTTTTGGGGAGGTCAGAAGTTGTTCATCAGATGAAACTAGTAAAGTTTTTCAAAGGAGAGGCAAAAATGTTGATGTTCAGCAACCTGAGCATCTGCTGAGAGATGTTCTTTGTTCATAGCAGTGGAAGAAGGTAGTCGGCTCCCCCACCTTCTTCACTTCATTGAGGCAGAGGTCAGCAGCTCACCAGAAAAAAAAAAAGCAGTTCTTGGAAACAAGATGACTGTAGGAGCTTCGGGGGAATTTGTCTGCTGTGCGACTCCCACTCCCAGTCCTGCTAAAGGCAGTAGGCAAATATTAACAGCTTAACACTCCAGTAACCTTGGAAATTTCTGAACTTAAAGTAAGCCCCTGATCAGCTGCTTTCTAGCTGGACTGCTTCTAAACCTCTGCTGACCTGGTCCTCGTTCACACTGGAGCCCTTTATGAATCTAAATTTTAAAGAATTACAACCATACACTTCAGAAGAGCAGGTTTTTTGCTTTTTGATGGCTCTGCTTGGCAAGGTCCTATGGGAGACTGCGCTGGGGGGCAGAGGGCCTGAGGCTGATCTACAGGGACGACCTCCCCAGAGCACAGGCTCTGGGTACGTTGGCAATAAAAAGCAGGCTGAGAAAATATGAGTCTGCTGCTCAGTGGGGCCAGGGTGAAGGAAATTAAAGGTACTTGATGCCTTTTTTTTACGTGGCTTTCACTTGTAGGGTTTGTCTTCAGACCTCCCAGGTTTCTGAGTCTGCTAACAGAGTCTGTGGCAATGTAGTGTTACCCACAGTAGAGGAAGACAGTGACATAGCTCTTGAGCTAATTGGATGTACAGCAGCCCCTGGCACCAGGCAAGGTGCATCCAAGGGTGCTGAGGGACTTGGTTGATGTCATGGCAAAGCCACTTGCTGATCAGGGGAGGTTCCTGGTGACTGGAAGAGGGCAAGTATTGCACTCATTTTAAATACCGTTAAATGTCTTTATTAATGACCTGGACAATAGGATGGAGAGCAGCTTCACCAAATCTGTGGATTAAATCAAACTGGGGGGAGTGGTCAATACACCAGAGGGGCCCGGGCAGGCTGGAGAAACAGCAGACAGGAACATCATGAAGTTCAGGAAAGGCAAACGTGGAGTCCCTTGTCCAGGGTGGAATAACCCTGTGCACCAGTGGAGGTTGGGGACTGCCTGGCTGGAAAGTCAGAAAGTGCCCTGCAGATGCTGGTGGACAAGTTGAACCTCAGGCCGCAGCATGTTCTTCTGGCAAAGAAGGCCAACTGTGTCCTGGACTGCATTAGTAAGAGTGTAGCCAACAGGACCTGGCTACACCTGCAGTGCTACGTCCAGTTTTGTGTACCCTGGTCCGAGAAATAAGTTAAGTACAGGAGTGAGTCCAGTGGAGAGCCACCAAGATGGGCAGGGGGCTGGAGCAGATGATGAACAAAGAGTGGCTTAGGGGACTGGGTTTGTCCAGCCTCCAGAAAAGAAGGGTAAAGGGGGATATTATTGCTGCCTACAGCTTTCCGATGGGAGGATGTAGAGGAGCTGGAGCCACACTTTTCTGGGAGATCTGCAGTGAAATGGCAAAAGGCAATGCAGGAAACGGAGTAGATAGTAAGAAGTTCTTGCTGTGAGGGTGGTCAAACACTGCAGCAGGGGCCCTGAGAGGTTGCCAGATTCCCATCCATGGGGACAGTCAGAAATCAGCATGGCCCTGGTGTGGCTGAGTGGGGTTTGGATCGGGTGATCTCCAGGGGCTCCTTCCAGCCAAGATCATTCTGCAAGTCTCAGTCTCTTTTCTCTTTGGCCATAGAGAAAAGCGAGTGTAACTGAGAGCCCAGACCAGGACTCTGCCTGTGGGTGGAACTGAAAATGGGTTGTGTGGTTATGTTACCCTCCTTTCCCCCCCTCTCTCAGCCCTATACAACTCTCTTCCCTGGTAAGCAGTGTCATCGCGTTATACCTCAAATATTTGGTAATGACATGTCACTGTAATCCCCCTAGAGAACTCTTCCAATATCACTTATTTCTTCTTTTATGTTAAACATGCTGCTGTGTGTTTTACCCTTGTACCCTCTTGGCATGTATAAAGTAAGCAGAGTTCAGCACTGACAGGAATATATACGTAGGCAGGAGCTTATACAAAAACAAAATCCAGACATGACATGTGATTGGAGAGGGGCTTGCTTTTTTTTTTTTTTTTTTTCCTCCTTTTTGCCGGTTGTTGTAATTTTTTCCAATATCACTTATTTCTTCTTTTATGTTAAACATGCTGCTGTGTGTTTTACCCTTGTACCCTCTTGGCATGTATAAAGTAAGCAGAGTTCAGCACTGACAGGAATATATACGTAGGCAGGAGCTTATACAAAAACAAAATCCAGACATGAAATGTGATTGGAGAGGGGCTTGCTTTTTTTTTTTTTTCTTTCCTCCTTTGTGCCAGTTGATGTAATTTCTTAGCAGCTGTCAACCTCTGGCACTGTCAGAACAGTCACTTGCGGCTGTGCTGCTGCACTGTGATCCTGTCAGACAAGAGGCACAGGAGGAGTGAAGTGGGGTTGTCCATTTATCCATTTAAGTCTCGGAAGGATTTGAAGGGCTGCAACCAGGTACTGGAAGTGATCAAAAAGAGTTCAGTAGTGTGAAGGGATCAGCAGCGGCAAGGTGGAGAACACTGAAACAGAAGAAACAGAGTTTGAAGGGATGCTGTTGTAGGATGGAAGGAGCAAAAAATGCAGAGGGGCTGACTTGGCTTGGTTTTAGACCATTTTTCCTGTAAATCTTAAAATTACTTTATGAAGTGGTGCTAGTCCTCAGAGTGGTGGAACAGCGCAGGTTTGAAAGGTTACACCGGTTGCCCAGTGCTTCCGCAAATCAATGGTGAATCATAAAACCAACAGAAGAATTTATTACCAGTGGCCCAGCAGCCCAGCCAGCGAGCGCAATACCTGGCTCGTCCTCCGCATGATGCAATTGTGGCAGGAATGTGCTTTTGGGAGATGTAAATCTTGAGGACATGCCTGCTTGTCATTAAAGGGATGACAGAGCTTTCTTCATGTATGGAAATGTTAAGCAAGCATCTCGACCAAATTATCAGATGGTTGGCTGTATCTTGACATTGTAGGACGTGCCAGTGGTTATGTGGGGGAAGAAAAGATGCTCTTTGCTTCCTGTCCCAAAGTATTCGGGCTATGCTGCTGTGCACTGTGAATGTCTGTGCGGCAGCCCAGAGCATGCTGTGCTGCAGACGCTCAGGAAGTCATCAGGGTTTATATAAAGCTCTACTGGGTTTGCAGAACCTTTTGGCACCTTTCCAGCATGGAAGAGATGATATAAATAGAAGAATGTCTCCCTTTTGAAGTCTGCCTTCTATTCATGGAAAGGAAGAACTTTGTGCCGGAGCTGTGATATAATAGCTGTTAAATACAAGTCTCATGACCACTCCTGTGACGGGCTGAACTGCTTGACCACATTTCAATGGGATGCGAGTGAGCTCAGTAGCCTGTAGCATCACATCTCTGTTAGCTGGTTGCTGACATCTGAATAAGGTTTGGCTGTATGAAAGCAGGGCTCAAGAGTAATTCATCCTCCCACCGCCCCTCCCAGCTGCTCCTCTCCCTGCTAAAAGAAAAAAAAATGTTGCTTCTTTTTTTTTTCCCTTTGGTCAGATTAACAAAATGTTTGGGACCGTGGTGGTTGGAGTTGGAATTGCTGGCTTAGCACGGATCCGAGACTTGATGAATCCGATGCCTTCCAGCCCTTCTGAGCACCTGAAACTCCTTGGATTTGTATCCAGGTTAGAAATTTCATCTTAGCATGTTTAATATGGATACTGTAATGTTCCTTTCTTCTGGTGCGCATGCCTTTCCATGTGGAGGACTATTACTTGAGGGGGGCAGGAGATGAATATCCAAAGTTTTATATTTCTCTTATAATTATGGCTGTCTGAAAAGGGAAAGTTTATGCAAATATGCCTGTCATTCTGAGTGGCAGCTAGGAACTGAGCACAGAAAGCTTTGCGAGAAGGAACAAATAGGTTACCTTAGTGAGGTACCTTGCAGAAGTGACTAAAAAGCTGAGAGACATTCTCGGTGCAGCATCTGTGTGATAAAAAGAAATGCAATTCTATCTGACTGAAATTTCCTGTAGGTTTAGGATGGTACAGACAATAATAACACCAATGAGCTAATGTCTGCATGAAATTTCTAGATATGTTTAAAAAACATAGCATGTTTTTAAAAACTTTTTTTACAAAAACACATGTTGTAAAGCTCCTAACGCTGCAACTTCATCCTAAAATTCTATCTTATTTTTTTTCAAACCAAATACTGAACCTGTAGATGTTTTTAAAGAAAATCTCATAATTTAGTACATACTGTAAGGTTGCCTCTTAGAGAGCAACTTTATGGTTTTTCTTGCTAGCTTGGAGCCATGGAAATTTAGCAGGACCATGTTACGCATACTGGATAACAGCAGAGCATAAAGGTTTTAAATAGTTAGGCGGTACACGTATGGATCTCAGACTGTGAATGTATTTTTCCAGCTATATTTAAATCATGCAGTCAGGGTTGTTTGAGACTGAAAGGACCCATTAGGTCATCCATTTTATCTCCCTGCCAAATGCACTCTTGGTTCCCTGATGCCTTTGCTAGTGCTGTGGCTAGCCTTGAGCAACACTGAAGACAGGGTTTCCACTACTTCTGTTGAGACACGGTGCTGTCGAAAGGCACAGTTCACAGCCAGCTTGCTTGGATATGTTGCCTTGCTCTTTGCGTTCCAATCACATACAAACATTACCTGTCTTTGCTTTCAGGTCCTGCTTGTAGCCTACCCTCATGCCGTCTGTCGCCTATCCTAACACCGTCAAGGTGTCTGCTCCAGTCTTCACTAATGCAAAGGGCTTTTGGGGCGAGTGTCTGTGTTTCATTTTCAGGTGGAGATGTGCTCAGGGTGGTGGCCAAGAGAGCCTTCCCTTTAGCACTGACATGGTGTGTGTGTTGCAAGGTATGAGCCGTCATAGCCAAGCATCTGGTTTGTCCCTCTCCTGCTTGTCCATACTTGTAGTTGCATGTGGCCCTGCCGACTCAAGTGTTTTTGCTCATGTTGTCCAGCATGGTGGGGAGAAGTTCTCTCATAGGAGCACTGTTCTCTTTCAAGTTACTCTTAAAATGGCTCTTTCATAATGATGCTTATTAAAAACCAAACCACCAAAACCAAAAAAAGAAAACCAAAAAGCACTTTACACTTCAGTAGCAGGATGGTTTCTGTACTGATACCACCACCTACACACTGACCCACCTGTTTTTGTCTTTTGTGCACTCCACTTCTGTCTGTAAGTGCTCATGCCCTTCCTGGATTATAAGCTGCCTTTGTTGCACCCCGGTTGAACTCAGTGAGACAGTGGTCCATGGGAACAATTTCTAAGTGCTGCTGCACAACATGCAGTTGGGAAGAATGGACTGTGATGGTTATGCTCTGGTTGTATTTATGCTAAATACACAGGAGAAGTTTTGGCAATATTAATGAGGCCAAGCAGATTAGCCTGGAAGATGCTCTAAGAAACAAAGAGATCCATGCAGCCTTCATCAGCACAGAGAACAGAAGCCATGAAGAAACCATCAGGTATTTTGAGGTGTTTGGTTTTTTCCTTTTCCCACCCTCTCCCCTGTAATTTAGAAGCATAGATGAGCTGTGTAAAGCTGTTGCAGGAGAGGATGTGGACACTGGAGGAGAGACTGCCAGACTAGAAGGCTGAAGTGAACGATAGTGAGTTCCCTAGAGCACCCAATAAGCCCTGGAAGAGACTAGGATTTAAGATGCATTCATTTTCCAAGTAATTTCAATTGCATACCTCTAGGCCTGTGTTTGATGGACAGGCAGCTTGAAACAGGATTCAAAGCCTTTCCTCACAGATTATATAGAGGAAGGGCACTCCAGTGCCCCACTCCAGCCACTCAAGTGTCTGGAAGTTAGAAATTGCAGTGCTCAACACCGCCGCATTTTAGTGACTTGCTGTAGATGAGTGAGGGAATTCTGTGGAAAAAGGAGAATTAAAACCCAGTTCTCCTGGTATTCAAATGTGTGATGTAGCCACCACACCATCCTTGCTAGGAAACTTGCCATTTATTTCTGTTACTCCATGTTGTGCATTTCTCCGTATGGGGCTGACTGTGGGAATGAGAAGCAGCTTGCACAGTGGAGAGAGATGATTACGATGATATACATTTTGAAGAGTGATCTTGTATCCCTTTCAGAATGTTTTTAGAAGCTGGGAAACACGTCCTCGTTGAATACCCCATGGCTTTGTCTGCTAAGGCGGCCCATGAGCTCTGGGAGATGGCTGAACAGAAAGGTAATGGCATTTGTTCTCAAGGGTGTAAACAGTATTACCTGTTTGGTAGCACCAAAGGCATCAAACTCAAAGGCAGGGCTCCAGTCTACTATTAATCATGACATACAAGGGAGTATGCGTGTCTCAGAGATGTGTCAATCTAGGATTTAAGACATGTGCCAATGGGGAAATAAACACACAAATGTCAAGGCTAAGAGTAAGGTACATTTGCCCTCACAAAAGCACTGGCATCTGCTTCTTCCACTAAGAATGCGGTTAGAGAAGGAAACCAGTCGCAGTGATAGTAAAGCACTTAATGAGTGCAGCCATTGGACTTGTGCACTCCCCTGTCCTCTCTCTCCCTGAAAATAAGACTGGAAACAGCTCTCCCAGCTTCTAGCATTTGTGATGTGCTGGTCACGCACAGCTGCTCATGCTATTGTAGGCCAGCAAGGCATCCCTGCCTGAGAGAGAGCTTGTCTCTAAGCAAAATCTCTTTATTTCTGGAAGGTGTGTGGTCCCACCCCTGCGGTGCCAAGGGTCAGAAGCTGGCAGTTCAGCTGAGGCCAGTGGGGATGTGTGGGGCTGCAAGGAACAGAACAGTGCTGGGCAGGAGCGGAGTGCAAACCATTTGGACAAGCTGCACTATTTATACCACTGCTTCTTAAAAATTTCCTTTGTGACTTTTGTCCTAAAACACCGGAGGTATAGGATTTCTGCTTTGCTGTTTCCCTGTACCAACACCACTTACTGCCTTGTCGCTCACCAAATGGCTTCCCATTGAGCAGAATTTATGCCTCGCCTCTTGAAGCAGCAGCAGTTACTGTCAGCAGCCTAAATTGACTCTCCTGGAAACCTTCCAGAAAAACACATATTGAATGAGGGCCACATTCAACATGTATTGGATAGCCTCTATTCCAAAGCAGCCCAATTAATTGCAATGGAGGGAGGTGGTCCTTAACATATTGTTACAATCTGGGTCTGAGTATTATGCTATTTTTTTCCCCTCCTTTTTCTTTCCTACTACCCTGGGAGGAAAAACGCAGAACAAGGAAATGTGAGGAGAAAGAGGCCAAGAAGTAATCCATCTTTTACTTTGAAGACTCATGTTTCAGCCTTAGTTGGGTATTGGGTTTCATTACAGAGTTTCTGTTAAACATAGTGGCTACTGTTCCTATAGTCTCTATATTCGTTGTCTCCTGAAAATCCTTAACCGAGATTGATGCCTCAGCACAGGGCCTGCGTTTAGTTTTCTTTCTGACATCTTTTTTGCCAGCCATGCATGAGAACATTTCTAAGTGAGCTCCCAGTGGTGGCTGGTGAAGCCTTTACTGCTTAGACGTGCCTTTGATTCACACAGAAAGCTTTTATTTACTCTGTCCTGATTTTTGGTGTGTGGTTTTTTTTTTTGTTGTTTTTTTTTTTTAATGGCAGGTAAAGTACTCCATGTGGAACACATTGAGCTTCTGACTGAAGAGTACAAACAGCTGAAAAAAGAGGTGGCTGGGAAAGACCTGGTGAAGGGAACATTGCATTTCACAGGTCAGTGGCTGTGAGGAAATCAAAGTCCATCTGGATTTGTCTGCCTGCTCCATAGGGACACCAGTCCTTCCAAGGCTTCATTCAGTCCTTTTAGACGGGAGTCTGTCTATAAACTGGACTAGAGACACAGGTATCAGTTCTGGATATTTCCATGAAATTACAGAACTGTCTGGAAAGCACCTTTGCCTTAACAGTTGTCTTCTACGGGCTGTTGCTTTGCTAATCTCTTTCTGCTATTCGGTGAAGAATGCAAGCCCATGCCTTGTTGTATGGAGGAGAGAGCACTTCTTCATCCCTTCTGTACTTTGGTCATAGTGATGAATTTCTCATTCATATTGGTCTCAGAGAGGATGATGAGCTGTGATGAAGTGTCCCAATTTCTAGTGGGGACCTTTAGTCTTCCGTACTGGTGTTTGGCCCCAGAAGAGCTGGGAGAGGTTTTGAAGTCTGTTTTCTCCTTACTTCATTCCCTTGTTGAATCCACATACACCCTCATGTCCTCAACACATCCTGGAGGGTTTGTTGTATATGTACTTTGTGCAGCCTTCTCTATCATAGCTCACCAACTGATCCATTTCAAGGTTGACCATATTGACTTTCCTACTCGGTCCCTCCATCTGCTCATGTCCTTTCTACACTCTGGTCTCTAAGCCTGCAACACTGCAATTTCTTCAGCCTTTCCTCTGCGGAGGGCATTATTCTCCTTTCCATTTCTCAAGACTTTCTATTGCCAGGTAGCGTCCTCGATGAAAACAAAACAGGATTCCCAGCTTTCAGTGGAATTGCCCGACTGACTTGGCTGATTGACCTCTTTGGAGACCTCACTGTTACCTCTGCCACCAGAGAAAAGCAGAAGGATAAGAATTATTCCAGAATGACTGTTCACTTTCAGACGGCAAACAAGAAGTGAGTAATGGCCATGGCAGCAGGTGAGCCAGGCTCCTCAGGTATCATCTGCAGGAGTTCTGCATCCTCTCTTCCTCTTGCGGAAACAGAATGGGTGGATGCTGGCATGAAAGTGTACAAGAGAACCGGCCCTGAAAATGCTTCCTATAGTAATAATGGTAAAAAGAGCCACCACCAAACAATGTCTGCTGAAGAGCACAAGGAGGTTTAAAAGCTCTTCTCTTAGGTCAGAATGTAGGAATGGGCCCATAATGCATTTTAGTATGCCTGAGATTGAAAGACCCTTCTCTTGCACTCTGAAAAATTGTTCAGACGCAGGGTATTTTTTGTTTAGCATCAGACATTCTAGCTGTACATTGAAAGCTAACCTTTCTTTAAAGGTTGAAAATATATGACTGTTTGAAAAGGTAATGCACTAGTTATAATACTTAGCTTATAGTAGTATAATGTTTGTGCTAATATGTAGCACTAGCTGGAGGTTAAGAAAAAATTACACATTTCGAGCAGAAGTATAATAAACTACTGAAAGGCTAACATGCAAAGTTTGCTCTTGACTAATGCCTAATCTGCAGTCCTGAAGTTTTCTCGATTTTTCCTGATACGACAACAGTCTGTTTCCCATTTCTTCTCTTTTTGCTTTTGTTGCATAAGTGTGTTGGGCTGAGTGAGAATCCAGCAACCAGGATTACTTGTCATTTTTCCCAGTCATTGCATTATGACTTTTTTGCAGAAAACTCTTTTGATGATGCATTTTATAATAATGAGTTTGTTCTCCCTTTTATTATATGATAACAAATAGCCTTGCTGTCAAATAGTATATTTTTAATGGCCTTGCTATAAAATAGTATATTTTTAAATATTATATGACCATGAAGTAAGTCATCAGTGTTTCATACTGTGAATTGAGAACTCAACTTGGTCCGAAGTCTGGTGGTGTATTTTGCTGGAAACTCTCCGGTTTGGTCGTTCTGGGCCATCCGCATGGAGGTCATGTCCTTTCAGATAGGTTGAAGTTACTTATGACTACAGTTTACTGCATGCTATAGATGTAACTTGAGAATTGTCTGACATGAAAAGGTACAGAGAAGTTGCCCAAGCTCTATATGTTTCCTAGGAGGTAGGAATGGTGATGGAACAATTTGTTCCTTTCCCTTTACTCCTGTTTTCCTGTTTTTCCACATAGCACGCTCTGCCTTTGAGGCAGATGACCCCCTCATAGGCATATGACAAGAGGCAGATGAGAAGACTAGGGAGAGCAGGGGAAAATAAGACCCCATGGGAAAATATTCTGGCCTGTCTTCGTTTGTAATAAATTACCCTTTTTTGTTGCACTTATACTGCTACAACACTTACAACAACATAAAAAACCCCAACAACCCCAAAAAAGAAAAAAACACCAAACATGAATGCTTACTTCTTTAAGAATTTTAGATAAATGTTTAGTTAAAAGTAATGACCTGAAGGACTAGCTATTTGGGGAGTGAATAATCAGGGGTCATTTAAACTGTTAGTTTCACCGCGGGTCTAGTTAAGCATTTAGTCAGCCAGTCTTACAAAGCCCACCGCAGTTTATCGTGGGATTAGCATCTTGTCTTAGCAATCTTCCTCTCTCTTTAAATAAAACATCATTTCCAATTCCTTTTAAAATGCAGTTGTGAGAGGAGAGAACTCTGTATACAAGCTCTGTTTACCCTCTTAGCAATTTGCCAGTAACACAAGTAGCTGTAAAGGTCTATATAGAGTGAGATTTTGAACTAATTCCAGCAGGTGGAACTAGCGGGTGGCTTAAACATTTCCCTGGCTGGCCTGTCTCCTAGGTAGTCCTTAGCTGCTATGCATGATATTTGCTAGATACAGAACCACTTCTGGATTTCTGTTTTTTTTCCTGCTCTACACCGCTAACAGGTACCTGCTTTTCTTAGCCCACTGCTAATTATTTGTATGGGTCAGTAAGTGTTTTGTCACCCTGAGCTTTTTAATGACCTCGGGGGACAGTCAGCTTTATGGCTCTGGGATAATTTACGCCAGCTGGAAAGTTACATAGCGTCCCTGTATTCCGTTCGGTGGCAGGGCTATTTTCCTGCTGACCTTCCCCCATTGACGTCAGTGGAGTTACAGCAGTAGAGAATTTGGCCCACTCTCCGTCAAGCGAAGTTATGGCCCAGCAGTAATGGTGGTGGTGTTACGGCTCTAATTTGCCCAACCTTTATTTTGCTGAAGGATGGGAAAGGTCTGCACCTTTCCTGAGAGCTATCCCATCCTTTTTCAAAAGACACGAATACACTAACCTTGAGAAATCAGGTTAATTCAGCCTATTTTCTGCCTTGGAAAATACAGCAGGTGCAGAACGCAGGAGCCTGTGTTCTGCTTGTTAAGCAGGGATTTGTGCAAAGGCTATAGTCTGTCTCCGCTGCACAGCCCGCACTGGCTGCTCATCTGTCTCTGGCTGGATTTTGGAGGTGTGTGTTAATGCCTGACGCCCAGCTATCTGAGAGATGACCTCTGCCTTTGTTGTGTTTCCAAGACAATAGAGCTGACAGCCTCTCTGTGATAATACATTGAGCGGGCCAGGAAAAGCCAAACCTCTAGTGACACCCCGGCTGGTTTGGGACTGCAGTTCCTGTCCCAGGATTACAGAGCTGGGATTCAGTAAATGTCAGAAATGGATTTTTAGTGTGGGCTGGAGAGAGAATGATTTGGGCAAGTACTCTTTTGATGTTAACTAGGGGTAGGGTCTAATTGTTTAATTCCCATCCAAGGTAAGGTAGCCCCTGCTTGATTACACAGTAAATAAAAAATATTGGCATTTTCAAAGTGTGAAAAGGAAGATGTTTAAAAGAAATTGAAGTCATTTTCTGAACACATATTCTGACAATAAACATTTGAAATGATGTTTTCATTGAGATCTAAGCTTACAAAGTCTAATAAAATAGCTTCAAATTGAACATCCATAAAAAATCATGTAATACATGCTTTCTGCAGAAGTTGCTGCATAAAATATTAAGCTGAGTGCACCCAGAATTCTTTCAAGCGTGAAACCAGCTTAATTATTCTGCAGGTACAAAGACTGTTTGCTTCATTTTGGTTTATTGAGCTAGCACAATCCAGCTAGGGCCACTCATTATTTGGGGAAACAGGGAATCAGAAAAGCAGAAAGTCTCTTCCAATCTCTGAATAAAACGTAGCTAGGAGAGCTCTACCAGTCTGAAGTCTGGAAAGACAGAATGACCGTAAAAAGTCAGGGTGGTTTCTTCACTGCAGATAGTGCTTGCTTTGTAAAAAGTCAGTATAAAAGTGGTTTGTTAGTGTTTGGTTAAACTTTCTTTTTCTTCTTTAACTGTCTAACATGTTTAATGTGGCTTTATTCAGCTACCAAAAATGCTGCATTTGTTGCTTCTAAGTAACACTGCTAACACTTCTAAATAACTAACTACATCCATAGCCAGATAATACTTTGATACAGATTTTTAATGAAAATGGGTAAATAATCTTAAAAAAACAGCAGCCCTTCACAATTTCTGACATGAAATAAAAACCTGTTTCTTAAGCTACAAAATTGCTTAAATAATTTGCAGACTTGCAGCATACATATCTTTATAGCAAAAAAGGGACTAATTTTAGTGTAGAAGTTGTTGTTAATTAAAAATTAATACGTTTTGGTTACCAATCGAGTAGAATCAACCTCTCTTGGGGAAAATAACCAAAAATCCAATTGCAGAAGAAGATAAATCTATTAGTAAACCCAGCATTTTCCTGCTCACTGATCTAAATCAGTCATTTTAATCACTTTGATTAAATTCTGCCCGCTCTGCATGATTGTGCTTCTGGTTCAGCGGCTTCCCCAAGCTAGAGCAGAAGAAGGCATACGCTTGAGTCTGATCATTGGTGTGCATCTGCTCTAGATCACCCCAGGGAGGTGACCCTGCGTTGACACCCCTGTGGATCGTATCGTGGACTCCCTGCTGTTACATGGTGGAGATCTTTGCCTATGTCTGCCCGCTGATTTCTTCATACCTGCCTACCTGAGATAAAGCAGCTTTAAATTACAGTGGCCTGAACCCTCTGTGGCTCTTTGTTATCATAAGAACATAAAACCGGCTCTGTTGAGTCAGAGGAAAACCCAGCTTGCTCAGCGGCCTGCCTCTGACTGAGGTCAATAGCCGGCACCTTGGGGAAGGATGAGAACACAGAAAATACCGAGTGCTATGGCCCTCAAGCACCCTTCTGGCCTGCAGTGACACGTAGCCTTGGGACTTCCTGAAACGCATGGTGTCTTTGCATTCATTAGTCCTCTGAGGACTTTTTTCGGTGCATTCTTGCAGGCTGTGATTTGGGTCTTTTTTTTTCCCTCCAGTTGTTTTATTCTGTTCAGTCAGGTTCATCTGGCCATGCGTAATTTGTAGGGTGTGCGTGTGGCAGTACAGGTGAGCAAAGAATAATTGATACAGTGATGTGAATATAGAAACTGGATCCTAAAGCATAAAAGATGAGAGGTGTGGAATTAAGCTGAGTGCTCTGCAGAATGTGTTCAGGGTAGACTGACAAGGACTTTCTTTCCAGATCTAATGATATTGAAGATTTAATGGGCAGTACTTGGAGACAGAATTTATTCTTCCATGCTATTGATGCCCTCATAATTTGTGAGTGGCAGACTAAAGTGGGCCATAAAGGACTGTGGAAAGGCCATCAATAATGAAGTAAGAAAAATAATGTGCATCCTCTAAACACAGGCAGTAGTGAGTGCTGATGAATGAGCTGCAGAAAGGTAATGGCATGGTTTAGGCAGTTGACAAAAGAGCAGGAAGGGAGGATCGTGGCTGTGACTGGTGTTGAGGACCATTCCTCAAAGCCTCTGCAGGCATTTGCAGTATTGGGCCAGGGAGTCTGTTGACCCCTGAAGTGATGCAGCATATCCCATGGCTCCTCTTTCCTCAGCCAGACTGGGAAGTTGGGAAGGAAAGTGCAAGGACCTGTGAGCTATGCCGGTCAATAGCCAACGTCGCCAATGCTTGGCCTGGAGGCTGTGGCTATCATGTTGGCATAAGACAAGACTTTGCTCTGATTAAGAAAGACCTGCCTGAGACTCTATGTAGCTGAAACAGGCAAAATTGACATCTTCTGATATAATCTCTAGGATCAACTCAGTGCTCCCAGTGAAGAGACAGAAACGTATTTGAAACATTCAGAGAGCGTGGATGCTGGTGTCTGCATGAGTGAACTTGCCATCTGTCCAGCTCATCCTAAAAGGGGTGGTGTTCAGCTTGCACAGTAGGACCTGGGTCATCATTATGTACCTGAGTGATGTAAATTTATTCTTGCTGGAAGAGTGACAAGACATTGCGGGCCTTGTGAGTTTAGCTGTGATTGAATCACGTACAAAATATTTTGATGTTTAACTGTACTTTTCATCCACCAACAAACAGATAAAACTTCCCTCTTCCCTGTGAGATGGCTAGACATTGCTGGCTTCACTTTGTGTGTAGGAAGAAGCAAGCTGGAGAGAGCTTAAATGGTGTGCTGAAAGTCATGCCATGAAGCAGTGGCAGAGTTAAGACTATTACCTTGTGTTCAACTCCGTAACCACAAGGCGTGCTGGTCAGAACATGTTACCTGAATATGCAATGAGTGAAATTTAAAAATGGTGCATCTGTTGGGGCATTTTCTGTAAATGCTGAGAAAAAAAAAGCATAAACTAGAACTGTTGATTCCATTTCTTCATAAATAGTCTTCTTTTTCTCCACTCCTTCACACTAGACCTCTGACTTGGATTGAAGAAAGGGGACCAGGGATGAGACGTGAAAAGAAAATCAACTTCTGTTTCACAAGTGGTTGCCTGGAGAACTTCCCTCAAGCCCCAAGGTCTGCTGTGGGCCTTTTCATGCAGGATCAGAACCTCTTTGCCAAAAAACTGCTGGGCCAGGTATCCAAGGAGGAGCTGGCTGCTGAGAAATGGCGAATTTTGCGGTGTCTCGACCTTGCCGAGGTGATCCAACAGCACTGTGAACAGCCAGAGAAAATCTGTTCCTGAGACTTCTCTTAGGGAAGGAGCAACATGGCAGACGGGAAGGCTGTAGGTCTAGAGCTGACTGTTGCCATCAAGCAGTTGCTATTTCTGTTTCATTACCTTCTTTTTGACTAGTTGTCATTCCTAGGCTCTGCGGGTGTGCTGGAGAGCCTGGGCTATACCCCGTGCCTTCTGGTTTGTGCCAGAACAAAGCAACATTACCCTGCTCCGATGCATTGCTGTCCTTCCAGGCAGATAGGAACCTAGCAGCAACAAGCTTCCCTGTGATTCAGTTGGAAATGTCCCTGAGAGTAGATCCTAAAGGACTGCAAATACTAGATATGATTCTCCCTCATGAGTTTTTTTTCCCCCTCTAGACACATCTGAAAACAAGATGTGTCTCATTTAGTAGTATTATCTAGAAAGAAATATTAGCTAGAAGGAAGTTCTAGGTGAGTTTTCCACCTCTTTACTTGATCTGCAGAACTTGTGCCACCACAGTTCTGTCCTTTTCCTCCAGATGCCCTGAAGTGGTCTGTGTGTTTGCTCTAATTAGTTGTTGTGCCTGTTTGGGGTTTTTTGGGTTTTTTTTGGTGTTTGGGTTTTTTCACATTGGAAATCATCTACCTTCAAATAGAATCTGTATTGGTATCAAACCAGAACAGAAGAAATATCCTGTCTCTTGATAGATGCCATGTTGAGTTCACTCACTTTATTTCTCTGTTGCCCCATGCCAACACAGAAATCTTTTTCCAGCAGAGATTAGAATAGTACATTAAACTAAAGCATTGCCTGCCTGCTTTCTACTGAATCTAAACATTTTTCTTTTTATGTACTGGAAGCAGCATATTATTGTCCTTCATTTGTGTTCTGTATCTAATTCAGCATGTGAATGTATCACTGCTAAAAATAATATACATCCTGCCTTTAAGAAAAAAATAACTAATGTACTCCTGGAAACAGTGAAATTCGTTAGAAATAGTGATAAAATCAGAATAGAACTGTAGAAAATAGAGCAGTTTGCAAATACAGCCATGTGGTTATGGCATATGACACCTGTGGGGATGGGTCTTTAGTATTTTACAGTAGTCCCAGGGTCACGTATGAAGACATTTTCACTTCCCTAAAGAAGCATTTTAGTTTTAGGAGAAGCCTAAACAGAGCACAAAACTATTAACAGTTCCTCTGTTTACCTTTTACTTTCTAATTACAGCATCTGTCGGTGTTATGTTAATATAGCAGCAAACTTCAGTCTGTGCAGTTGTTCTTTCAAACACAGAACCATCATTTTTTTTCCATGTTTTCACTTGGGCAATTTTTTAATAAAGGAGCATATATGTTGTGAATGTATACATAACTACAGCCAGTCAATATTGATGGAAAAAAGTCTTCCTTTGGGTAAATCATGTTCATTCAGAAGTTGGATACAGTTCAGTCAGTTGGAAACAGGGAAGGAAAGACTGTGTGTTTTTTCCCAAATCCATCAGATTTTAGGAGCAACTGGAGCTTGATATGTGAGTGAACTCTGCATGTGAAATTTGTTTAAATCTACTCTATCTGTTAAAATCAGTGAAAAGCCTCCTATTGACTTCAATGGATTGAAATCCACGTAGGTTGGCAGCAGATTTGTGCAGGCAAGATGATGCACTTGTCCACCCAAATGGACACCTTACTGAGCAGTCACAGGGACTTCTTTACCAATGTGATGGACATTGCCTGGGCACATCTGATGCTGTATGAGGGGAAAAAGTGAGTTCAGAATGAAATTAGAATCTGCTGTGTATATCTATCTGCTATGTATGACAGCACATGAAAGGTCCTGTTTCTTGACAAACTCCTCAGCTGTGAATATGGGGTGAATACCACTTGTTTACACGCTAATTCACAACGGGTGGCTGGGGGAGTGGAGGGCAAAGGGAAGGGAGATTCATGCTCCCCATCTATAGGCATCCAAATTAGCCACCACGTCTCCCTGGGCGTGCTCTGCAGTTGCTGGCGAGAGCAGTATTCCTCTAAGAAATGAGGAATAAATTCATGGGAGCTCTGTAGAGCAGCAGTATAACATTGTGCAGTGAATCACCCTCTGGAGAAGCTTGTTTCTGTAGAGAGCACCTGGGGAAATTAGCTGGTTAATTTGAGCTAGGGAAGGCAGATGCCTAGAGCTGGCTATCCTGCGCTCTCCTCCATCCCCCTCCCATTCCTCCCAGCTAACCTCTTTGCCTACTGCTGTCTGCCCTGCTCCTGGGAGCCTGCAGCATTCAAATGGCTTTTCCTTCGGCCCTGTGAATTTGCTGAGGTACCGCGATGGTTTGTATATGAGAGCTACTGGATGTCAAGCTTCAAACGTGTATTGTTTAACCAGATGTCGAAATCACCAATAAAATATTGGAGCTTTTAATCATTCCTTTTAGTTCCCGTTGTCCTTCATTAGCAGTTCCCATTGCCTGTGCTGGAAGTGGCTCTGTCCGGACTGGTTCTTTTCCCCCCTTTCACTCCTCGAGCCCTGTGAAATCCTCCCAGCGACCACAGGCTGTGATCCTATCCTAAAGCCCTCAGCTGTCTCCCTCTCCTGTTTCAAAGTTTCGAATACAAGTGTGGTGGGGTTTGTGACCTTATCTCAACTCGTGAGCCCTCCCACAAAATTCCTGCCCTTCCGGTCCCTTCTGACTCCTGGAGTACTGGCAAGTCGAAATCTCCGCTGTACCCTTCCACTTTCCCATTCAACAACTGCTGTATTTGAGCAAATTTTTGAATCTGCTAAGTAGAATCTGAAACAGGTATTGAATTGGGTTTTCTTGTGGTTTTAATAAACTGCTTTATCATAGCAGAAATACTGTCAGAAGAGTTTTTCAGATAGTATTTGGCATAGCCTGAACCCAGCCGGTTTTAGAGATGCAGAGGTATGAAAAGGGAAGTATAAGGTGTGACATGGGCAGGTTGGTATATCACGTTCTTTGGAAGTAGCTGTTTTTCTACTCTTTCTGCTGGAAATCACCCTGCTCCTGTGGGACGGTGTAGGAAGTCCATTGCAGTACACTTGATTAACTCTGCCTGATGCTATGGAGTTGTTATGGAAAGTGCTGTAATGCAAAATGCTCCTACGCGAAGGAGGGATGCTCAGTTTGCTGACACAGGCTGAAGCTTGTCTCTGGCGGATGAGAGGCATGGAGTCACTAACTGTAACACGCTAGCCGAAACCTGGAAGAGATGGTTTGATCCAAAGGCCTTTTCAGAGGGCTAGAGATCAGAGGAATGGAAAATTTCCAAAGAGTGAAGAAACTAGCTATTGGTATGAGGACTTACAGAGCTGTGTGGGAAGCTCTGGCCAGGAGGGAAAGAAGGTGGATGTAATTTCGGGATCAAGTGTTCACCTGAGACCCTGTTCTGTTCTGTGGGGGCTGGGAACAGAGTCTAATTTAACTGTGTGATTACTGAGGACTGTCAGGAACAGTATGGGAACACGGGAGGTGGGATGAGGGGAAAGGCGAAGAGGACTGGGGGACATCGCAGGAGCTGCTTGAGCTGGCATTATTTATGAGGAGGATGTCATTGGAGCCCCCAGAGCAGATCAAGCAGACAAGGAAGGGGGAAGGCAAGGGCTGGCAGCTGTGTAGACCAGGGCTGTTTTTGAAATGGTCCTCATATGTCAAAACTGTCTGTTTTAAAACGAATAGTATGTATGGCATCTGAATAAAACTGTGGGGCTGAGTTACAGAAAGCACTTCGGGGATTGCAGGTCCTCCAGCAGTCTGTAGAGGGGTCGAGGTTGTTAAGACTGAACTGTACACATATTTTCAGCTGTCACTTGAGGTGTTTGGTTCCTTCAGGTTGGTAGTATGATCTGGGGCCTTGGGCACCCTCACAGTTTGCTGGCAGGTGACCCACCAAAGGTGATCCTGGCTGGATGTCTGGCTCTGTGATGGTGTCTCCTGTGAGACTCGCAGAACCATGTGCTGATGTGCCTCACGAAGTAGCATTTACTGCTCCCCAAGGTATGCCGTATGCTCTGTGCAATAGTAATAAAACATAATACCAGGAAGCAAGGATCTCCAGTAAAATAAATAACTCCAGGCTTTTGACAAAGATAGCAAGGTACTCGGTAAGCTTTAAGTGCTGCAAGCTGGTATTTGTAGAGGCTCAATTAAATGAGGTTTACAGGACTCTGTTGAGAGACCTGTTAGAATTTTTGTTTAAAGACGGGATATAGCACAGGTATTATCAGCAAACTTCAGCCCTAACCCAGAAGAACCAAGCCTTGCAATGGGAAGGCAGGAGATGTCCATGCAGTACAATATGGTGCTGTACGAAACACCAGAGCCAGCTCCAGCTGAGCTACCTCCGGTACCACGAGGGCCAGCTTGTGGTGTAATTTCATCTGGCCAGATGTGCCCTGCTTCTCAGCAGAGCCAGCTGCCCTGTGTGGAGCACTGGGCTAACTCATTAGGCCACGTAGGCATAACCGCAGCTTGGCCCAAAGTGCCTGTTTGGCTCCTGGCCTGCCAGCGTCGATAGTATCTTTCTCCTGTTTGCACTTATCTTTTGGGCAGCAAAGGGAACTCAAACACAGCTTCCAACCTGTAGCTTCTGCTTTCTTGCTGACCCAAACTGATTAAAGCAGGCAGTTTTTTTCTCACCCTTGAACAAAACATAAGGCTCAGGAGGTACAGGGCTGCTGTGTGGTGATGGCCACAAAGCTGCAGGAATCATCTCGGTGTTACAGCTAGCAGAGCTCCAGGCTTAGCGCTTGTCTTCTATGTCTTGGCAATAAACGCATCTTACTGGGGCCCAGCTGCATGCAGATAAATAAGGAGGGAAACTTCAAAACAATAATTTAAGTAAAAAAATACCATCATCAGAAGCTCTGAATAATAGCCTGCAGATACGCATGCTAGCTCTTACAACAATAAATGCATCCTGGTCTAATAAAAATCACTTACTTAGTCCAGGTTACTACTTCAAAAAACTTCTCTAAAACTTCATACTCAGGGCATCTTAGATCACATTTAGTGTGAGCTGACTTTCTGATTTTGCTGCTGCTGTAAATGTCACAACCTGCCTACTAATGTTCCTATCTACCACACCTAGTGTATGGTGCCATCCTGCCTGATCTCCAGTGAGTCATCCCTTTTCCCTGATAAAGGTTAACTTCTAAAGAACCCAGTAACGTGTCTCTAAAACAGCTAGATTGCCTCAATGT